GCCCTGATCCCTCACTCCATGCAATATTCGCGCCAGGCTTGAGAACCCGGAAGCCTCCAGATACGAAGACGCGGACATACAAGCAAATGTAGTTTGACTAGCCCGAACCCCCCAGGTACATACTATATAGGGTACTAGAGCCCCTAGGGCCCTATATAGTAGGCACTTGGAGGGTTAGGGTAGTCTCTACATACACATGCACAGGCACATCCACGCGCGACGAGTTGTTGTAGCTTACTCCCAGCAGTTGTGACGACATGCAGTTTTCTGTACTTCAGTCTCACTTCCGCCGTGCGCCAGGTAGGGCAGCAGCACAGCAACCCGGTGCGGGCTAAGATCTCGGATCAAGCTTTCAGTTCCTCCATTCGACGAACTTGGAGGTTCATGGGTAGTTATAAGTGGGGTTATAAGTCCCCTATACTAGGGGTTATAATTATAGTTACCCTACTTATAACCCTACTTATAACTAGCCATGAACCTCCAAGAAGGAGTTCAATCTGTGCATCACCTGCAGAGATCTGCTTTGGCGTCTAAACTACTTTTGCATGCAAATGTGAAGGTCAGCAACATTCGAGCCGCAAGACAGGCTATCCAGACTAGTAGACTTCCAAACTCGGGAAGCTTCGCCAATATAGGGCACCTTGGGGCGGGGAAACGGAAGAGAAAGCGTTTTGTTCTCAAGATGTCCCTGGCTGTTAGCAAAGACGACTTGATTCCAAACTCCCGGCACGCAACAAGATAGAGCCTAAAAGTCCATGGTGAATCCCAAAGCTTCGCCCTCAGCCCCTGCAACCCAAAACCTCAGCCGCAAAACCCACCAAACACTGCATCCCTGAACCCTGCAGTTTGGAACCCTGCACCATCCTCAACCAAGCCCGTGTGAGTTACATTGATGCGTCCCATTCAGAACCCTTTGTCATGGGGTCTACGCTCCAAAGCCGAATCCCCAAAAGCTCCCAGCACAGTAATCCCCAGTCCCAAACCCGAAACGCAAGGCCCTAAAGCCGAAAGAACCTAAACCCTAAACCCTAAAACCCAGCCCCTCACAAGGCCGAGACACTGCGAAAGTCATGAACCGCGCTGCCAGCGCTGCAACAGAGGACAGAAGGGCTGGTCCTTTTTGTTGAAGGGTTTAGGGTTTAGGGTTTAGGGTTTAGGGTCTTGTTGGGCACCTCGTGGCACCGTGGCTTATCGCAGTCCAGCAAGGAAGGAGCTTATAATTGTTGGGCTTACCATAAGACGTTTACCATCCTAAAGTCGGGGACTGGACAAGCAATTTCAGGTAGAAGTCAATCGACGCTAATCCATGTTCCAATTTCCCAGGCTCACCGTGTTTGAGTTGAGTGCATTATGCAGGAAGTTGGGGCTCAGTGGTGGTAGTGTGTGCTATACTAAACCCTAAACCCTAAACCCTAAACCCTAAACCCCTAAACCCTAAACCCTAAACCCTAGACTTTGACCGCATCCTGTTTGCAATGGACATCATAGGCATCGGTGGGCCTGATGGAGACATGCGATGAAGAGTCCTGAAGTTTGGAATTCACGTGTTTGTTCGGTTACTTGATGCACTACAGAGTGTAAACCCTAAACCCTGAACCCTAAACCCCTAAAAATTCGGCTTCATGAAAATCTTGAACCCTTAACCCACGAAAAATTCGGCTTCATGAAAACCCTGAACCCTATAAACCCCTCAAGATTCGGCTTCATGGCAACCTGTGCAATGGTAGCTTAGGCCCTGTCACTTCAGAGGATCTCCCGAAAGGCCCCTTCAGACCCAAACCTGCGCTATGTTTAGGGTTTAGGGTTTAGGTTTAAGGTTCAGGGTTTAGGGTTTTGGGTTTAGGCTGCTATCCTAAATCCTCAGCCCAACACTGCCTCCTCATCTAGGGGCCTTAATAATCTGAATAGGGTTTTGGGGGGGGGTTCATCACTATAATTCTCCTATAATAGATCCTTTAATAGGTCCCAAACCATCACTATAACTATAGTGTAATAGGTCCCCAAACCATCACTATAGCTATAGTATAATAGATCCCCACACCATGCCTATAGTTATAGTATAATAGATCCCCAAACCATCACTATAGTTCTAGTATAAATAGATCCACCAAGCCTAGATTATGTAAATCCCGTGTGGCTGCAAGGCCGGGGAGCGACTTGGCATCTTCACGACTCAGCAGCTCGCAGAGGCTGGTCTCCCTTTGAGCTCGCAAAAAATGTAGGGGCCTCTATAATTACCAATATTATTTTGGGGGGCTCCTTGTTTGAATTATAGTATAATGGGCCCCAAAATAATATAGGTAATTATACCCTAACCCCCCAGGTACCTACGATATAGGGGACTGGAGCCCCTAGGGCCCTGTATAGTAGGTACCTGGGGGTCAGGGTATAGTTACCTATATGATTTTTTGGGGTGCCTTGTTTGAATTATAGTATAATGGGCCCCAAAACCCTGTTCTAATTAATAAGGCCCCTATATTCATGGTGGCTGTCCAAGTTTGATCGTCCTTGTAGGCCTTTGGGATGCTTTGGGAAAAAGGGCAGGGTTTTACAGAGGGCCTGGCAGTTGCGGGCTCAGAGACTAGGACTGACTAGGATACTGCAAGTAAACAAAAAGTTTGCTTAATCATGCGATCCATCTTGCATGTACATGCACACGAACATCAACAGTTAATTACCCCTACGCCTGTGCATACCTTTGTTCGTTCGTGTGCGCTGGTACCTACATGTGCACGTATGTAAGTGTGTATGCATGTACCCTGCCCCTCTGTCCCCTCCCCCGCGCCCCAGCCTGCTTGAGGTTTTCTGTGGTGTGTGCTGTCCCTCCCTCCCCCCCTCCCGTGGTTTGCGCTGACCTTGCCATTTCTCGACCCAGACGTCGTGGACAGGCCGCCGAAGCTGCCTCCAACGAGGCCTCACGTGTGTTGTCTTCCGGCCTGGTCCTTGGGCGACACGGCTTTGTGGGGTCGGGCTCTCTTCTAAGACCCCTTGGCTTGCTTCAGAAGCTTCCGGCGGCTCCTTTGGGTGTAATGTAAGGGTCGGAGGCATCGATGCAGGAGCTCGCTTCCGGGACGTAGGCTTGTTCAGTCTTTGGGAGGTTTGGGGTTGCGAGGTTTGGGTTCACTCTTGGACATGACTTTCCACATGGTTACGAGGGTGCAGGCAAGCTGCTTGGTGGGTTGTGCTGGAGGGTGCACCCTTCAGGAAGATTGAGGAGTGGCGCATGGCGTGTTTTGTAGCTGTTGTCATTGTTGTCGGCCGTCGTCTTGGCGGTGGTAGCCGGGGCGACGGCAGTGAAGAGGGTGGTGTTCTCTCATGATTACTGTTCTTATCGCGTTCAGCTTTGCTGTTGCGCTGGCTGCCGCTGTCGGACCTTTGTTGGTTGGAGCGGAGGCGGGGTGTTGCTGCTGTTGTTGCTGCAGCTGCGAATGTTTTTTGCTATGTCAACTCTATTCCAATTCAGTACATATACGACTGATGTATGGACCTCTCTCAGCTTTGCACGTCACATCTGCACTACCCTCAAGCCCTCGAGAAACCTGTTGTTCGAGGGCTGGAGGGTAATGAAGATGTGTCTAGATCATAAGATCCCTTGGATTGGTTAGACACTCTTTAAAGAAGGGCGAAACGAAGCCAAAGGTCCGAGACCGGCAGCAGCAGGCGCGGCGGTCAAGTGCAATGTTCGGGTCTGAATAGTTACTAATTAGTATTACTAACTATAGTATTACTAGTTCGTCTCACTAATTAGTTTTACTAACTGGTGTTACTAATTAGGATTGCTCCTATGGCTCCTGTTCTCTTAGAAATGTTAAACTATACCAGCATACTATTGTACATGGTTCGTCGAATGGTTCGTGTTCAGGCAGATATCAGCACACTATGATGCATCCCAACGCACTTTTCTAGCTGGACAAGTGTGACTGCAGCTTGTGGGTAAACTGTGGGCTCACGGCTTGAAAGTAAACTCACAGCCCTAAATCCTCAGCCCTTAACCCTATCCCCTAAACACCCTCATCAAATGCCAAGGTCTTTTGAGAGCTTCAAAACAATCTTTAGGAAGGGGAAGAGGTCTTCTTGTGGGAGCCTTTCAGTGCGTCGGCCGGGTTGAGGGTTCGTATAAACCCTGAACCCTAAACCCTAAACCCTGAACCCTAAACCCTATACCCTTATAGGGTTTGGGGACAAGTGCCTGCTCCTTTTCTCCACTCCCTTGAAGCTCCTCTCTCACCTGGGACCCCGGGCTCCGAAGCCTCCGATGCTCCAGGCCGAGGAAAGGGCGTCGTTGCCTCGGCATTCAAGAGAAGCTTAGGGTTTAGGGTTTAGGGTTTAGGGTGCATGTTTCCGGTTAGAACTTAAAGGTTCGGACAGAGATCGCCTTTGATCGTGGACCTTCCAAGCATGACTAGTCCTGAGGCATGGCTGATTCCTGTCGGACGAAAGTTGAGATTTTAGACTTGATGTGATCAACTAAATACCTATGCCCACCTACTGGATACCTACTTGGAGGTTCATGGCTAGTTATAAGTAGGGTTATAAGTAGGGTAACTATAATTATAACCCCTAGTATAGGGGACTTATAACCCCACTTATAACTGCCCATGAACCTCCAAGTACCGGACCGATCTTCCTACCCACCTCTCTTTTTCAGGTAGTTGCAGCCCTCTCTCCCGGGCTACCACAGTCCAGAGCCACGCGGCTTAGAGCCTTCACATGCCTTAATCGTTGGAGCCTTTAAGACTCTAGCCTGCAGCCTACCCTACCCTTCCCAAGCCTCTGAACCCTTCCAACAGCCCTTGACAACAGCTCCAGAGCTTTGCTAGTCTTGGGTCCGAATGATTATCCTGTGGCCCTGTGGTAATTCAATTAATGTAGGGGCTTCAATAATTACCTATATTATTTTGTGGGTTCCTTATTGTAATTATAGTCTAATGGTCCCCAAAACCCTGTTCTAATTCTTAAGGCCCCTACATTATCCAGCCCCCCCATATTAGACTAGAGCCATGGCTTCGTTAAGCACTTGGCTGCTTTTGGGCTCCGTCTGGCGGCCGTCGGCAGAAGACTGCGTCGTGACGGTTCCGACATGGGCTGAGGGCCTAAGACAAATATGTACGTTATGTATAGACATGTTCATCGTGGTTTAGGATGCGCGAAAGAAGCGGCAGAGATTTTGCTTGCGCATGCGAGTGACTGCAATTTGATGAGGGCTCCAGCGCCCTAGAACCCAGAACCCTAAAAGCCAAACCCGAAACAGTTTGTTTAGAAAACTAAAATGCAGAGGCCGTCGATAACCCCGGACATGATTGACAGTTTCGATTGCTTGTCGTTATAATACCCCACTCCGGGAAGGACCTACACAGCCAGCACCATAGCAACGTTTGCGGCATAGGGTTCAGCTTACAAAGACTAAATAAAGAACGCTTGTGGACAGAGAGGTGGATCCAACCCAGCGCGGCGTCGCGCAGGGACGGCTCGTGGGTGCAGGTGCAAGGGACCTGCTAGAATCTCGAGAAGAGACCGCAGTAAAGGACGTTGTTGAGGATTCAGTGGCTTGAGACATTGGAGATCTGCTTTAATGAAGCTATGACCGGCTGCGTAGTGAAAAGCTCGAGAAGAGTAGATGTGCCCATTGCCTTCGGGGTCCAGGATACGGACATCATGATGCGTTGCAGAACGCACCATAAATCCAGAGACCCATTGAGGAGATTCAACGCTAAAACATCTGGTTGTTTAGATATGTCCAAAAGTTTTTGCGGGCTTGTGTGTCAGCAGCGCATCTTACGAACCGGAGGACCTCCTTCCCTGACTGAGGCATCGAGGATGTGAACAACGAGCTGCTTGCCTCATCAAGATCTATAACCCTCAACCCTAAACCCTATACCCTAAAACCCGAACCCTAAACCCTAAACGAATCTATAGGCTAGTTCTGCCTGTCTGGCGCCTCGGAACTTGCTACGAGAAGTCCGAAAGATTCTGAAAGTTGGGGTTCTCGAGCCAACGGCCGAGGGGGACTTGCGCGCTGAGGCTTTACGGCGGTCTCTACACAGAGATGGTGTATGGAGACTCCTTCGAGGAGCCGCGGAACAACAAAAAAACAACTTCACCATGTTGATCGAAACCGGTCCCTCAAAAACAGCCGTGTTTCTCGTTGAAGTCTTGGATCTCTTGGGTTTGTTCCTAGTAATCCTAATTGCGGAATGGGGTTTTGGGTGAGCTCGCGAGGTTTCCCGTTACGAGTTCAGTGACTTCACTCTGCGCACTGCTCGCAAACCCTACGGTTACCAGAACTGGGCCACAGAATTAGAATATGGTCTGGGCTCATGCCTGCTACTTCGGTTCTATGCAGACTGGAGAGGAATGAGTGTTCAAGTTTGTAGATCCATAAATTTGAGTTTCCCTCTTCAGCGCAGACTCTGAATCCAAGGGTCAATTGGTGTAAGGGCCTCAATTTACCAACCTGCCCAATTTATCAGAAACCCTTATATGTGTTGAACCTATAGGTTCAACTTATATAGCCCAAGCCTAGAGCCCCAAGCCCTAAACCTTGGATAGTGCCCGAATCAGTAACAGTTGGATAATGTTCATAATCGAGATATAAGGCCCTTAATCGTGGCCCTGTTATAGACTGTTACTGTATTGGGGCAGTACTTGGAGGTTCATGGGTAGTGATAAGTAGGGTTATAAGTGGGGTAACTATAATTATAACCCTATTAGGGGACTTATAACCCCACTTATCACTACCCTAAACCCTAAACCCTAAACCCTTAAAGGAACCCTATAAAGCCATTTAATTATAACCCATATTAGGGGACTTATAGCCCCACTTATAACTACCCATGAACCTCCAAGTACCCTAAACCCAAACCCTAAACCCTAAACCCTAAACCCTAAACCCTAAACCCTAAACCCCAAGCCCTAAGAGTCTCTGAAGTCCCAAGGAGCCTCCCACTGACGGCGTGAGCGGTGCTGACTTCGTTCAGCCTATCCCAGCCTTTTCCGGGCGCCTCGATGTTGTCGGAATGATGATATACCTACACCTATCTGCATGTATGTAGTCCGTGGTGTAATTATACAATACAGCTTTTTGTCTCTTTCATTATGTGTGAAAAGACAGCATAAGCATGTACATATTTCTGCATACATGCATATGTAATGTAATGTATGCATGTATGTGTGTGTAATGTATGTATGTATGTATGTATGCATGCATGCATGTATGTATGTGTATATGTATGTACGTATGTATGTATGTAGGTATGTATGTATGCATGCATTTATGTATGCATGTATGTGCGTATGTGCGTGCGTACGTGCGTAGGTGTGTGTGTGTGTATGTATGTACGCATGCATGCATGCATGCATGCATGCATGTACACAAACATGTATACTATTCATGTGTGCATGTGTGTATATATATATATATCATATAGGTATAGGCACATAAAAATATAAATATATATATATATATATAGATACACACACGTTCATTTTCGCACAGACACACATATACATGTGTATATATATATATAGTCTATCACATATAATATATAATCTTTAACATATAATATATATTATTTAACGTATAACATATAGTGCATAATATATAATATATACTAGATACTTCATGTTTTCTAAGATATAAAACTATATATATATATATGCGTACAGTGTTGGTTGTATAAGATGGAGCGGGAGAGAGCAGTTTGGCGATTTTGGGCTTCGGATATTGGGCATGGGCTGAGCTGAGTGAGGCATGGGTTAAGTCCTTCATCCCAAGCTGAGCGGATGATGACGGGTTAGGTTTGAGTCCCGGGCGTGCGGCTTGCAAATGCCATTGGCCCAGCTTGAGCTTCTCACGGAACTCAACACAGGTCCAGCGTCTTCAGATTTGTCATTTGAGACTTTCAGCTCCTGCAGCTGAGTTCGGACTTCGGTGCCATACACGGCGATAGCAGAACCTTAGTTCTTGCATCTCCACTTGCAAAGAATGCGCTTGAAGCCCAAGGCCAAGCAAGTCCCAGGGGGATGTCAAGGGCTCCTTCAAGCAGTGTTTAGCTCCGCAGCGGGTTCGTTGTTTGTTGGAGTTTACTTTGACCTCAACAAAGGAGGCGTGGGGTGCCAAGGCGGTGTTACAGGAAGTTCCCTTCGCATCGAGGCACGGAGCCAACGCCAACAGATCCTCAGGCCCCTCAAACCGTAGACTCCATAACCCTGAACCCTATAAACCCTAAGCTCTAAATCTGCTAGCAATCCCATCCCAGAGACGTCTCAAGAGCTCCAAACACCGAGTTTCCTTTGGCTTGAGGCGAGGACTCACAAGGCCCACTTGGAAAGTTTGGGCGGCCTCTGAAAGCTCTCGTTTCAACGTGTCCTTCGACCGATTTCATGGTCGGGGCCTCAGGGTCCTTGATCTTTGGAATAGGGTTTCGGTGTATAGTCTAGACTGAATCCTTTAAAGGAGCCCTCACGGAGTAATGTTGGTAATCATCCCTTTTGCGTTTCGAAGTAAAGGTTCGGGCTTTGGGGCTCCCAGCGGTGTGCAGGGGGGGCAGGGCTTCGGGTGTCCAGATGTTGCTTAGTCCTCCAAAGCTTACCGTAATCTGAGTTCAGCGCAAGGATTGGTGGTTCTGGGTGTGCTTACAAATGGTTTCTTTTGGGGAATATAAGATACTGTAATCGTAGTCCGGAACCCTTAAGGACTTAAGGAAGAGTACGACGAATTCCTGCACCCCTCGCTGACAGACCCAAAGGGTCCAAAGGACCTGTACAGTAGAATGTAGGGTTTCTACAGTAGGAATTGCCGTTATGTGAGTTGAGGAAGCATCCCCCTAACAGTACCTGGGCCCTTTAGGAGAAGAGATCCCAGATCTCCACCCCCGTGTCTCTGCTACAAACTACTCTACAACCTGCCCCCTCTGAGGGCCTCTTGCAGGCAACCAGAGCCAGCTGACTCAGATTGGTCAGTATAATCTTCATATTATAGTATAGTCTAGTCTAGTAGAGTCATGAGTATAGTAAGGTATACTGTGCTATAGTATGGTATGGTATTGCCGGCAACCAGAGCCTGCTGATTGGTCAGTAGAATATGATATTGTAGTATAGTTTAACGTCTAGTATTGTATAATGCTACAGTGCAGTACTGTGTAGTGTAGTATGGTGCAGTATAGTCAGTATTGCAGGCAACCAGAGCCAGCTGATTCAGAATGGTGCCATCGCCAACTTCGGCCTGGGACAGCAAGGCATGTACTTTGCTGCGGGCAAGGAGCCACGATTCACGAACTGCAGCTTCACCTGCACCCCCCAAAAAACACCATAAACAGAAACCCTAGAACCCGCGGATGATCAGATGCCGTTGCTTCAATGGGAATGAAGATGTCGGGCCTCGGACTTTAATCTGCAAGAAGATTCCGATGTAGTTCGTGTGTAACTACAGTGTTTAATCCGCAAGTAGATTCCGATGTAGTTCCTATGTAAGTACAATGCAGTTGTAAAACCTACGCAAAGCCACAAACCCTAAACCCGACACCCTAAACTCTGATTTGTTGGAACCTTCGGTCCTTAAACGGGTCTCCGTCTCCAGTGCTTGGGCCCTCTCCGGAGTTCGGATCCACAGTTTGTCAGGGAATGGCAGGGCTCGAGAAGAATCCGCGCATCAGCATTTCTCTTATTCGTAGTATTACATTCATTAGTTTCGTTATTTCTATATGTACTTTGTTACAATGCGAGTTTTACTACTAATCTTTCGTCATGGAATTCGCAAGCATTCTACAAGCTGGAGCGTCTTTTATGTGGCCTCACTTCAACTTAAACTTAAACTTCAGGCCACACCCCAACGTTTAAGAAGGATGCTCCGCAAGACCAAGGGGACCATGTCCAGAGTTACATTGACGCCAGGACTACCGTGGCTTCGTGTATGCAAAAGCGGATGGGTCTGCCACACTCAGCGTGTCTCTCGTCGCTGAACACAACGGCCGGCGGCAGCTTCTGAACTCTACAACTTTCCAGCTGAAGAGCTCGAACACTTGGAGACCCAGACTGCAAACATGGGGAAGAGCATACTATAGGTATAGTATAATGGGCCCCTGACATTAGTCATGACGACTACGATTCTGGTGGGGGTTCGCGGTGAGGTTTTGATGTTGAGACTTCGGACTAGACAAACTCCGGGATTAGTTTGGCCTTAACGTAGTCCCTATATAGGTACCTCGGGGCCAAAGTTGCACCCTTTGGCTTTGTGAAAAAGTCGGCAGCATCTGTGAGACCCCAGGCTGCGCCTTGACTTTCTGCTCACGCCGGCTGCCTCCAGTTTCTGCGCCATGGCCATGCCGTGGCTTGGAGGCGACGGTTTAAGGTTTAGGGTTTGGG